GGAGTGGCCGTTTGTACAGGTGGCCGTATTATACAGGTGGCCGTGATGGCAGGTTCGATTGTAGTTCTCCATGTAATCAGAGAGTCAATACTGTGTCTGTTGTAATCATTTCATCTACTTATGCCCTTTCAGTTTTTTAAAATAATTATAGGTTGGTTGTTGTTTTTTCAAAAGGCTGGATTTTCAAATCTACTATGCGACCGAGCTTTGAAAACTCTCCAATAGAAAAATAAAATTAATATTCCTTCATTTTGAATTCCGAATAAATAGTAAAGAACTACATACATTCTACGTAAAAAAAAAAAAAAAGAATTGTGTGGATAGAAGCAAGGATTCTAAATACACCACAGGTCTCTTGAGAACAACCTTTGGTCTGCCCAGCCACGTCCGTTGGTCTCAAGAAGGCGCCACGTACCTCAGAACCACAAAGTTCTATCTGCTCCCAGTTCAGTACAAATACCTTGTTTTGAGAAATTGGACGAACAAAGTTTTGTCAAGTTTTTTTCGAAGGCAATTCTTTGAATATCTTGATATATAACGACTCCAAGTTATCTTTCGATTTTTGATAGAGCAGATAGAAGATTGGTTTCTGACCTCATATTTTATGGTCTTAATAACTCAAAATGGCCAACAATGTCAGATAGAACTGTAAATCTGAGGTAGCGATGGATCAATAACCGTATCTATAACCTCCTCCGTTTTATACATGTATTAGCTTTAGACATGTGCACCGTGCACCTGTGATAAAGGTCTAGGCCAACGCTTATCTCTCTGTTTCCCTTGCTTGCTGTGAGAATGCTAGGCTTATACCCGGTATCTGTTCTTCTGCCCCCGTCGTTTCATGCAAGAAAAATTCTGAAATTATGCACACTGAGCCCAAAAATGTGAAATTATGCGATTTTGTTAATTTTAACAAAGGATTAATTAAAAGGAAAATAATTTGAAATTATCCCCCCCCCCCCGAAAAAAATAATAAATTTGGCTAAATTATGCGGGGTGCATAAAAACACGGGGACAGGTTGTTGCATGTCGCAGCCGAGTCGTGACGACGCACAGTGCGTTACCCTTTCTTGTCCTGGAGACTGGAGAGTAGTAGGCGAGGAGCAGCTAACGCATGGTGATGCCTGCATTGATGCCTGATATATTCTCCAACCACGTAAACCAAGTAAAAGTGAGTCTCTTTTACATTAGGGCGGGGAAGGGGGGAGGGGATAGGAATAGCTGTCTTTTGTTTCATCAAACTAGGCCTCCATTTTATTTTTACATTGTATTTGCACACCCAAAATGCATGTATAAATCATAGCCAAAAATCGATTGCCAACCCATGAAATGTTTTGCCAGAGTCTGTGATATGATAGGTCTAACAGGTTATTTATTCATTAGTCCAGCCTTCTTGATTACGTCATTCACAACTCTCGACAACAGTGCCGAAGCCCCCCCCCCCCCTCCCCAAACCAGGACAGTCGTGCTACTGACTGAAGTTGTCTTTGGGCCATTCCCAAAGGGGGGGGGGGGGGTATAGGGCCTATACATGATCTTATGCACAATAGATTCGTAAATAGGCTGGTTTATCAATGTCATGCTCATACTGTGCCGGAACAACATAGGGGGGAGGGGTGGGGGGGGGGGGACTGCAGCGCTCTTTCCTAATCCTATACTATCGTCATTTTCCTTAGACTTCTTTTGCATTAATGATATTTTTAAATGTTTGTCTCTCTCTTGAACTGTTATTTCGGGGTGCCTTGACAGTCCAAGCCGACTTTGTGCTGTTGAGGCTAGATAGGTGAGCAGATCGAGTAAGCCTCATTCGCCGTTTGGACTTCTCTGTTGACATTCACCCCTCGGCGCTCTTATGACCGTACGTAGTTGCGAGTGCCGTAAAACCAAAGATCGTGTAGTAGAGAATCTTTGGTAAAACCTTACTATATCTACCATAGAGTTACCTCCTTTTAAACTATAGTCAGAGAGTATTTAATTCTATTTTAGTGTCTCTGCTATAGTGTACATCTATGATATCTACACACACGTAAAACTAAACAAAGTGCCACAGCCCACAGAAAGGGCCCTCTACTCTCTACTGCCTTCAAGAAAATTTTAAGGTGGAGTTACTGGCCCCTTTTTTTCCGAGAAAACGCTATGACGTCAACTTTTGCGTCGCAGAGTAGAATTGCTGATTAAGATGAAAGTTAAGCCGAAGTTTAACAAGTGAGGACAAATTGTTTCCAAAATACGATGAAGTGAGGGCTATCTTGCTTTAAAAAAAAACAAACTTGTCTATACAGATGTAGTTTTCTTTTTAGAACGATAAAACATTATTTTTTGTTATTCGGACCTCTGACCTCAGAAAGAAAACAGGAAGAAGGAAGCAGGGGAATCGGGAATAGTGGAAGGTTACGATACCGTATTTCACACATAGATATATGCGGCATTAACATGCCTTATCGTGGAAATATACCAAGTTTGGACGCATTTATCTCATCTTTCACTCTCTGAAAAGTAATGTCAGTTTTGCTTGTTAGTAATTGACAAGACTCCCAATTCATATTAACGTCTATTCAATTGTATTGGACAACGAAATCGTCATACAATTTTTAAAACACTGGTTTTTACTTCATTTAGATCAGGCATTCTCTCGACAGAAGTGAAGGAACATTTAATCCCTCTTGGACAATTGTTCTATCAGGACATCGGAAATAATCAGCTACTTGATTTGCGCGTAGAAATAGAAATCTATTGCCATCCTCAACCCCCCCAACAACAACAACAAACCCCCCCAAAAAACAAACAAAAACAAAACAACAACAACAACAACAACAACAACAAAAACAAACTAAACGTGTTTTTTCTCTTTTTTTCTCTTCTTAAAACTAAAAATAACCAACCAATCAAACTGAAACAAACATTGCACTGTATAGATCTAATTAATTTCATGAACATCTCATTTTGTGTATAATGTACATTTATACATGCATAAATGATGGTATCGATATAGACCTGATTTATCGCTTTAATTCACGGCAACGATCCAGGATATTGTGTTGGACGGTCTTGGGACAAAATCATGGACGTGCGGACGTGGGGCCAACTAGATTCTAGAATCTAGACCTACTTGTCTGCAGTTCGGCACGGGATTTTAATTTAGGCTTAGTGTCTCAATTTTGTTTGTGTTAAACAGCGACAGAGAAACAACCCTACTGAAATCGAGGTAAATCGACAATACTGTTTGAAATGTAGGCCTATCTATAATCTTGTCAATAATGACCAGTAATTTTTTGTAGTTTAGTCTTAGTCTTAGTATAGATCTAAATATAGATCTAGACTATAGATTCTAGATCTAGATCTAGATCTAGTAACCTAACCATGCCATTGGCATTGCAATGCCTCTGCCTCTAGATCTACCCTCCCTGCCTCCCTCTCCACTGTTTGTTAGCGCATGTTTCCTTTCAAAAGTCCAACTCTGTTAGTCTTAGTTACTAGATAGATCTAGATCTAACTTAAATTTTAAATTAAATTATAAAATAGTGATATTTAGACTAGATCTCTAGATCTAGATCTAATCTAGATATTAGATCTAGATCTAGTATCTAGATCTAGATCTAGATCTAGTTAGAAAGTGGCTATTCTCACCCGCCCGGAAGTTCTCGCAAGATCAACTCCTCCCCTCTTCTCTCTCTCTCTGTCTCTTTCTGAATACTGTCTATCGGTGTGGACGATCAAATTGACCAAAACAAAGTTAAAAAATAATGTTAAAACACAAAAGTAAATTAATTTGGTTGCCTACAAAGATGCTACAGCTATTTAATTTTTCGAATCGAGCCGAACTACGCGGGTCGCCATTTTGATTTTGTTTTGCCCGGAAATTCTCGCGCTACTCCTCTCTCTCTTTCTCTCTCTCTCTCCACTGCCCACAGACAAAATTATACGCTTTTAGTAGGCTACAGTTGTAAATGAATGTTTGTTCACGGCACAGAATTCTACAATATTTCTGTTATCACAGTGTAGAATTCTGTGGTTTAGGGTGAACGCAAAATTTGGTGAATGCGCACCGGGTGAGAATAGCCACAAGACTCGCCTGCACTATTCTCACTCCGGGTGAGAATAGAGGTAGCCATTTAGTTATTTAGTCTACTGGTGGGCCTTCTATGGTAGAGGAAGAAGCAGGGATGCGCTTTCAACTCATGACTCATGACTCATGGAGCTGGTGAGACCCTTTTTATTAATTAAAAGGTAGTGTCAATTGCCACCGAGTGACGCGGTGGCAATTGATAAAAATTGACTTTTTGTCAATTGCCACCGAGTAAATTGGAGCTCTTTTGCGTTGGTTCTACAACAAAATGTAGGCTCAGGCTAGCCTAGATCTACGCCTACGACGTCTCATTGAAAACACGCCAAGTTGGTACCGTAGCTCTAGACTAGAGGCTCGTCCAATGAAATTAGTTGAAAACAAATTGACCCATTAGACACACATTATAATGCTAAAGATGGTGTTGTTTCCAGACTTGACACCGCTTCACTCGGTGGCAATTGACAAAAAGTCAATTTTTGTCAATTGCCACTGCGTTACTCGGTGGCAATTGACGCTACCTAATTAAAAAAACGGAGTGTCTACGTACACACGGTAACCAGGCACTTAGCCTCAGTGTCTACGTACACAGTAACCGGCAACCGGGCACGTAATCTCAGTGTCACGAAAACGGTAACCGGGCATGTAGCCGCAATATCTACTACGTACACGGTAACCGGCAACCGGGCCTGTAGTCTCAGTGTCATCAGAGACTATAATTAAATACTCTCTGGTGTCACGTACACGGTAACCGGGTAGTTCAGAACTCCAAGCAGGGTTGGTGATTTTTTTATTTTTAAAATAAAAATTTTAAAAATCGATTTTAAAAATTTAATCTAGAATCTAGATCTAGATCTGAGCATTTGCCAAAAGGTGGGATACCTGGGTGTGACAAATGAGGTCCAAAATCAACTTTATGTAATAATTCTTTAATCACCCATATTATATAGCCTAATGATTGCTCTTTCAGGCTCAGTAACTGCCAAAGCTGTATATGCAAGGGTCTTGGTGTAATTCTGACTTGAATGACGGAAAAAGCAAAAAGTTCGTTCATAACAACAATGATGACACAAATTTATGAATACTCAAAGTTCCTTTCTTCAGCTAGGCTGATGTTATATTTTGAGACATAGCAAATAACTTCCAAAAATACATAGAATTGACAATTTATAAAAATCTTTATTAATTTTTGATAAAATTACTTTTTTGTGTCATAATAGTTATGAACGAACAATAAGTGACCAAAATACTATCAATTATATCAAGTTTCATCGACTAGAATTGTCTAAAAATAACACTCTGGTCTAATTATAGTCAAGTGATAAATGAAAGACCATTGAACAGCTATTTTTAAACGCAAACTGGTCTTTGGGCATATTATGCATAAATTTAAAGTTCGTTCATAACCATTATGACACACTGTTTCGTTCATAAAACTATTATGACAAATTTTACTTTTGGCCCCTAAAATTTACTTATATTGTTCTGTCTTTCACATAAAACGGTTTTCATTTATGAGGCTTTGCTTAAAATATGATAGATTCCTCTATGTAGGGAGAATTCAAAGTTTATAACCTGAAAAACCCTTAGAATACCTTTAAAATGGTTTGTTCATAACAATTATGACAAACTTCAATTTTGACCTAAAAATTTACTCATTTTGATCTGTCATTCATTTTTAAAAACTTTTATTAAATGAAACTCTCCTCATAATATGTATCTCTGTACATGTTTTTAAAGTTTGTTAACAATGAAAAGCCCTAAAAATATATCAAATGGACTATAAATAGTTCGTTCATAACCATTACTACAAAAGTATAATACTAATTAAAATCCACACCCATACACTCATGATAAAAATCAAAATATCAGAATGTATGCAAGGTCTATTCTGTCCTTTAGTTGGGTTAAAATTAAAAATACATCCCAAAACAACTGTAAATTACATGGAATAATGTTTCGTTCATAACCGTTATGACACACTGTTTCGTTCATAACTATTATGACAAATTTTACTTTGGGCCCAAGAAATTAACTTATTGTTCTGTCATTCACATAAAATTGTTTTAATTTATGAGACTCTCCTCAAAATAAGGTTATATGTTGGAAGAATTCAAAGTTTAATCGCTGAAAAACCCTATACCTTTAATTGTTCGTTCATAACTATTATGACAAACTTCAGTTTTGACCTAAAAATTAATATTTTGACCTGTCATTTACTTTAAAATTTTATATTAAATGAAAGTTTCCTCATAAATATGTATCTGTGTACATGTTTTTAATGTTTATCAACTCTGGAAAGCCCTCAGAGTACAATATGTAGTTCGTTCATAACCATTACTACAAAAGTAAAATACTAATTAAAATCCAGACCCATACACTTATGATAAAAATCAAAATATCAGAATGTAAGCAAGGTCTATTACATCCTCAAGTTGGGTTAAAATTAAAAATACATCCCAAAACAACTGTAAATTACATGGAATAAGGTTTCGTTCATAACCATTATATTATGACACACTGTCACGTTCATAACATGATGACAATCCATTATGACAAGCATATTTTTGCCTCTTCTTCGCTTCTCTTTTGAGTCATCAGCACGATACTCTTCCATGTTCATTCCACCATGTAAAAGGATGTTGTGAAACAGTGGGAAGTCCCTCACATGATATTTTGCAGAAATATCATAAAGTGTTTGTTCATATTACATCATTATGACAAACCTGGATTATCTCAATCAAAGTCATATTTAAGCAAAACCATGCGATGGAGCGGAAAATTACCCTTCTAATGGATCAATGTCAAACCAATGTTTAATATCGGTCATTCCCCGGGATGATGTTTAACGATTTGGGTTTTCTAGACCTTGGAAAGTCTGATGATGTAATTATGACACGAGTTATGAACGAACTTATAAATTTTACTCAGCAATAACATCATTAATATAAAAAAATAAAACCCTTTTAATGGACACACGCTGTTATGATGGTGTATACAAACTATTTTCAATGTTTGAATGCACTTCTGTTTGATAGTTTAAGATTAACAATATTCTGTATTTAACATACAATTACGTGTGCTCTCAGGATGAGTAAAAAATGCCCTATTTTTAGTACTATTATCTTTCTATGTAGAGATATAAGATGCACACATCAATCTACCTGCTCATGCAGCTTGACCAACTTATTTCCTTGCCATATGCATAAAGTTTTCAGAAGAAAACATATTTTACCATGAGTAGTGGTTGATTTAAAAAGTCCTTAAGCAAACACCCCCACCTTTTGGCAAAAGCTCATCTAGATCTAGATCTAGTCTTGATTTATATCAGATTTTTTATATTTAACCAAAAAAAAATTATTTAAAAAAAAATGTCGACACAGTTTGGGATTTTTAGAGGCTAAAATTATGGTCTTTTAGTGCAAAATGCATTGTCTTTATTTTAACTAATTTTAAAAAGAAAGCCTTAATCTGCTAATTATCAGTGAATTATGGCTACAGACAAAAAAATGAAGAAAATGTCAGTCTAAAAGGAAGGGGGGGGGGGGGGTAGGGGTGTAATTATGCATAGATAAACTTGCATTTTATTACAGTGTGTGTGTGTGTGTGTGTAGTGTGCGCGCTTGTGTTTGTCAAAAAAGAAAAAGAAAATGCTAATTTAATATCAATTAATGAAAAAAAAGTAAATTGAAAACTGTATTATTCTACTACTTACAGTGACAGGAGAAAGCAGACTTTTAAGCATGTTTATACAGTCGAACCTGCCCTGACGGCCACCTCTATATGACGGCCACCTCTATAAGACGGCCACCTGTACAAACGGCCACTTTCCATTTCCCCCTTTGCGTTTTTTCGATATAATTAAACTGTAAAACGGGCACCTGTCCAACGCGGCCGCGGCCACCATAATTTAACACACAACCCCTATCATACTAAGCAATAATACCTGTCTAAGACGGTCACCTTAGTGACTCCATTACGTTTTGTCATAAATTGTGCATTGGCCCCTGGCGTTGTGGGCGAGCCGTCAAATTCAATCACCTGTCGTTGTTGTTAGGTAGTCCCTCCAACCGTTCGTGTTGCGTAGGCCCCTCCCACTGTTGACCAATAGCTACCAATTTTCAGCTGCTGGTGAGGTAAGC